TAATAGATTTTCCAGTTTCACTTCATAGTTCAACCTTGATTCTTACTACTTCCCGTCAAATGCCACCCTTTATGTTTCTCCTCTCAGTTGCTTTGCTTGTGGAACAAATCAAGTCTTTTTTGCTTGGGTCACCCAGACGTGAGAAGGATTCTGTTCTTCCCACAACTCCCCAAATCTTGACTCAGCAGTTTGCATGGATTCTCCCCCAGAATTTTCCAGAACATCCCTGGACTCTCAGTCCTCAGGCTACTCCAGAGTTACTACTGCTTTGTTTTTCATGAAGTGTCTCCTTTCCAATGCTTCTTCCAACTTACTTGAATCCATCTCTCCCCAAATGTCCTTTTTACTGTTTGTCTCTTCTGTTGCCTCTCATTTGCTCCAATAGCTCTTAAATTGCTTCCGTTAGCCCCTAAATCTGATCTCCATATCTATTGGGTTGTCAGAAAAGTTATGATGTATTTTTTCTATGTTTTTCATTGCAAAAATGTGTCATGACTTTTCCAACAACGCAATAGTTCTTCCAACCCCACTCACAGGTTACCTTACTCCTCTAAACTTTTGCAAAACTCACACAAATATCTGTAACTGTTAGCATACCTACAATCTATTTAAATGTTGGCTGGTCCTTCAATAAAGGAGTGGGGAGTGAGACTAATAATTAATCAATCAGTATTTCAGCTCCCTGGGAGGGAATCACAGGATCAACTTTAGAAAAGTTTGTTGTTAAATAAATAGTGGTCTTATAATTCATTAAAATAACTGTCAATTTTTCCTACTGATTAGTATGTGTGAAGTTGATTACTATATATTTTCCCTGTCACCCCTTTGTGACATGCTCCTAGATGGTTTGACAGCTGGTGTGCTCCAGGGAGGTGGCGGATATAGCCTCATACCATTACTTTAGCCAGACACACAAGCTATTTCAGCTCTGACCTTTGTTCACTCACCCTTGACTTCTACATCAAGTGGCAAGGCTAGGCATTTCTTGTCCTTGCCTCTGTTCACATCCATCCAAAATGTATTGACAAGTCAATTCTACTGCTAAGAACAAACCAAGTTCACAGAATTGTTACAATGGAAGAAATGGATTCTTTACACAATAAGGGGGTCCCAATCTCATTATTAATATCAACAATCCCATTCTTTTACGTTTGTGTTTCCAAGCAGCATGTCTTACGAGAAAAGCCTGTTGTGTCCTGGTGAGGTTGACTATGCTCGCTTAATCTTAGATATCTTTCAGCAAAAATTAATTTATTAAAATATGAAAAAATACAAACAAAAACTTAAAGATTATATTCCCCCCACCGAGGCTCAAATGAAAAATGCATGCAAACTATTTTTATACCTTCTTTTTTTCTTTAAAATTGATTTAAAATGCCAGCTCATTCTTTTGGAAAGATGAAGATATGTTCTTTTAAAGACAAAGACTGGAAAGCAATATGGAAAATTTTTTTAAAGCTTTCTCCATTAAATTTGAAATGGTGTGGGAATGCAGATACTTTATTTTGCTTTCCATTATGATTTGGGAAATAAAAAAATAATAAGGGCCGGCCTAGGAGCACATTGATTAAGAGTTGGCTTGGGACGCTGGCTCTGAGCAGTAGGGCCCTGGTTCAGATCCCACATGCGGGCCAGTGGTGCTGCGCCCTCTACAACTAAGATGGTGAACAACAGCTCAACCTGGAGCTGGGCTGCCATGAGTTGCCAGTGATGGCTAGGCTGCAGTGGGGCTGGCCGGCAGCTGGCGTGCGCTTTTGTGAGCTGCTATGAGCGGCCGACCAATGGCCAGCAAGCGACTGCCTCACCTGGGAAGAGCGCAATGATAATACCAACATGGGCCAGTAAAGCCACGTCCTCCACAACTAGACTGAAGAACAAACAGGACAGCAACTTGGGCCAGCCGAGTGGCATGTTGGTTAAGAGTTGGCTTGGGACGCCAGCTCTGAGCAGCAGGGCCCCGGTCGGATCCTACATGAAGGCCAGTGACACTGCCCTCTACAGCTAAGATGGTGAACAACAGCTGGACCTGGAGCTGGGCTGCCATGAGTCCCGGGCGTCCGCGTAGGCTGCAGCCCCTGCTGCAGTGGGCTGCCGAGAGCTACTGTGAGTGGCTGGCAGCTGGAGTGAGCTGCCGTGAGCCGCTGTGAGTGGCCGTCCAATGGCCGGCAACTGACTGCCTCACCCGGGAAGAGTGCAATGATAATACCAACACAGGGGACTGGCTGAGTGGTGCGATGGTTAAGAACTGGCTTGGGACGCCAGAGGGCCCCCGTTCGGATCCCACATATGAGGGCCAGTGACACTGCCCTCTACAGCTAAGATGCTGAACAACAGCTCAACCTGGAGCTGGGGTGCCGTGAGTCACCGGCAACGGAATAGGCTGCAGCCCTTGTGGCAGTGGGTTGCCATGGGCTACCGTATGTAGCCAGCAGCCAGCGTGAGCGGCCGTCCAGAAGCTGGCGACTGATCTGCCTTGCCCGGGAAGAATGCAATGATGGTGCCAACTTGGGCCAGTGAAGCAACGTCCTCCACAACTAGACTGAAGAACAAAACAACAGCAACTTGTCTGTTCCCCTTCCCCTGATTCCCCACCACTGTTCCCATCCCCCCAATTCCCCAATAAAAAAAAATCTTAAAAAAAAATACCAACATGGGCCAGTGAAGCGATGCCTTCTACAACTAGACTGAAGAACCAAAGGACTGCAACTTGTCTGTTCCTCTTCCCAGATTCCCCAATGCTGTTCCCCTTCCCCAATTCCCCAATAAAATCTTTAAAATAAAATAAAAATAAAAAATAACAAATGAGGAAAAATAAAACTATGTTTTGATAATAATATAAAACTTGCCTCTAATTGGGGTTTTTCTTTTGTAATATATGGTTGTATAATAAGTATCAAAGTTGGTTTTCCTTTTAAAGGGAGAAGTTCAATAATTTATTTTTATTTATTAAAAATTTTTTAAACTACAGTTGGTATACAATATTATATTAATTTCAGGTGTACAATATGACTTGACATTTATATACCTTACAATGTGATCAACACAATAAGTGTAGTAATCATCTGTCACCATGCAAACTTATTACTATTGACTATATCCCCCTTTATCTTTTTCACCATTCCCCTTACCCCCCACCCCTTTCCCCTCTGGCAATCACCAGTCTGATCTCTATTTCTGTGAGTGTTTTTGTTTTGTTTGTTCGTTTTGTTTTTAGATCTACATATAAGTAAAACCATACAGTATTTGTCTTTCTCTGACTTATTGCACTTAGCATAACACCCTCTAGGTCTATCCATGTTGTTGCAAATGGCAAGATCTCATTTTTTACTGCTGACTAATATTCCATTGCATATATATATACCACATCTTCTTTATCCATTCATCTATTGATGGACACCTAGGTTGCTTCCATATCTTGGCTATTTTAAATAATGCTGCAGAGAACATATATCTTTTTGGATTAGTGTTTTACATCTTCTTTGGATAAACACCCAAAAGTGGAATTGCTGGGTCATAAGGCAGCTCTATTTTTAGTTTTCTGAGGAATCTCCATACTGTTTTCCATAATGGCTGCACCAATTTATAGTCCAACAACAGTGCACAAACATTCCCTTTTAACCACATTCTCGCCAACCCGTTATTTGTTGATGTTATTTGATAATAGCCATTTTGACAGGTGTGAGGTGGTATCTCATTGTGGTTTTTATTTGCATTTCCCTGATGATTAATGATATTGAGCAAGTTTACATATGTCTATCGGCCATCTGCATGTCTTCTTTGGAGAAATGTCTCTTGATGTCCTTTGCCCTTTTTTTGATCGGATTGTTTATATTTTTGTTATTGAGTTGTATGAGTTCAATAATTTAAATAATGCTACAGGTGGACAGTAGTTGGTGACAAGTGTAATGGATTTAGTTGTTGGATCTTAACTTATTTGCCCCCAATTAATATTCTAACAGAAATTAACTTATTAGTTTATAAGACTAAAAAAATTTCCAAATGATAGTATTGTAATTAAAAACGTGAAGAGCTGGCAAGTGTTTTGTCAGGTTCAACTAACTCCAATAGTTAGCACATCTAATTATACATGCAGTCTATATTTATATCTGAAACGCTATAAATAGTTATAATCAGGAAAATATCTTATTGATCTAGCAGCCTGGTCTTCCTCACACTCCTTCAGCGGGTGACCAGGGTCCGTATCCAGCACCTGCCCCCTTCCCCCCTTCTAAAGCCCTATCAGCAATTGTGCACCTGTTTTTCTTCTGTGCACTTTCTTTAATTCCAAGAGTCACATTCAATATAAGAAATAATAGATCCCTGCTACACTTGACCCACTTTTCCTCACCGTAACATCTTGCAAGATCACAGCTAGGTTACTGAGGTGACACAGACCACCGTCTAGACGAGATTTGTCGGGTTTCACGGCACTCGTTTGTGTGTGTATTCAGCTGCTGCACTTTCTACAGCAAAGTCTTCTGCATCTGACATGTTTCGGCAGAATAGACCCCTAGCATCTTACAGGGCCCCTGGTTCTCAAAGCCCCGGAGTGTCCTGCACTCTGGAGGACACGCTCGGGACCCCGGGAAAGGAAAGAACCAGGAAAGAAAGGAAAGAACTAGTTCCTCGGAGTCTCCCCTCTCACCCTCAGGACTCAAAACCCGTGGCGGCGACCCTCAGCGAGACCAGAGGAACGGGGCGGGGCCAGGGCGGAGTCGGCGCTCGGGGGCGGGGCCGGGACGGAGTCTGGATGTGGGCGGAGTCGGAGGCCGCGCTAACGGTCGTGCGGCGGTCCTTAGGCGGTGTTCGCTGCGCACCTGGGCTGTGGGCTGAAGGTTCTGTGGAGAAGCTGCGGGCGCGGGCCGGGTAGGCCGGCGAGGCGGCGGGGGCCTGTGCGCGGTGGGCCACCCTTCAGGAGTTAGGAGCGCTTAGGGACAGCCGAGCGCTCCCGGGAGCGGCCGGCGCTGACGGCTGAGGTGAAGGCCCCGCCCTGTAGCGGCGGCGGAGGGCGGGCAGCAGGCTCCAGGCCGCTTCTGAGGGCGGGGCTCCGGGCCGCGAAGTCCGCGAAGGAGACGGCCTCCCTACTGGCTGCCGCGGGCCTGGCGGGGTCGCGAAGGCGAGGCCCGGCCCAGAGCTCGGCCTGCCCTCTGCTCGCCCGTGGTCCCGCGGACTGGGGTGTGTGGGACCCGGCGGCTGTGAAGTGGACCGACGGAGGTCTCCCACAGTCTAAATCCGAGGGGACAGTGTCCCATCGAATATAGGTGTCGCGTGGAACCGTGTGGAACGCGTCCGTGCACGTAGAATGAATGTGCGCCACCAAAAGCGTCTGTGTCGTCAACGCAGAATAGAACACGTTCCGCACGGACTCCAGATACTGTTACCGGTGACGTTAGGGTTCAGTCTCGGGCTTGGACATTCTGTGGGTTTGACAAATGCGTCAGGACACGTGTGCACGGTGACAGGACCCCTAGAAACCCCAGCTCGCGTCACCCACCCCTCCCTCCCCGCTCCCCGCACCCCTGGCAACCCCGGGTCTCCTGCGGGCTCCACAGTTTTGCCTTTCCCAGGATGTCACAGAGTTGGGAATCATCAGAATACATTTTCAGACGGCGACTGAACAAACAGGGAGACAGTCTCATGTCACCGCAGGGTTTTCGAGGGACCGCTGTGTTAGATCCCTGTCTTAAAGTTGTTGAGCGGGGCGGGGAAGGGGTGTGTGTGTGTGTCACCTATAAAGTGCAAACGTGAGGAGGGCATGAAAGGATAAACTTTAGGACATGGTGTTTGAATGCAAAGATTGCAGTTTTCCTTTTTTTTTTCTTTTAAAGCAGCGTTTAGTTAGAAAATTTGAAACTACGTTGGAAGATTACTAATAAGGGTTCTTCTGACTCTGTGATGCAGAGCTCTCCGGTGTGATGGCTAGAAAGCCAATTTTCTAATGGACACCCCAGAGTGTCTAGGAAGTCAGCTAGAATTTCATAATGCAAAGCTTGCCGAGTTCCTATTGAAAGAGCAGGAGTAAAAATGACCTTTTTAAATTGGAAGTATAGAGATAGTTGAACGGAACTCTTCCCCTCTATGAGAGAAAATGACCAATTTTACCAAAGTTTGTCCCCAAATCTGTGGTGTGTGATGAGAGATTGGGGAGATTTCCATGGGTAGAAATGACGACAGAAGGAGGACTTCTTTGCAGTAGCCTCAGCCCACACTGGTCTATAGAATAAAATAAGAAAGTTATGGGAATATCATCACAGCTCCTTGGAAGCTCCACTTGTCTAGAATAGCAAGATATAAACTGTACTTGTTCCCATAATTTATATACTTGGTATAAATGTAAAAGCAGTTAACTAAAATTCTATCTAAAAAGATAATTGTAGCAATATTATCCTCAAGTTACAAGTTAAAATCAGATTGATTTTAGAACTCATTCATTTAGTCAATGAATAACTGGCAGTTACTATGCATGAGGCACTAAACTAGGCACTGTAGGACACAATAGGGGACAAGATAAGGGATGGCTCTGTCATTCATGGAGCCGACATTCTGATGATGAATTTGGGGAAATAGAGGCTGGGGGATACTTGAGGTAGGGTTGTAGGAAAGGATCCTCTTTGATACCTGAAGAATGCTGAGGATCCTGTCTTGGGAATCTGATGGTGAGATTGGGGATGGTGTTCAAGGAGAGGGAACTGCATATGCCAAGGCCCCAGGTCCCACTTGAGGGAAGGAGAGCAGCCAGGGGACTGGAGAGCCGTTATCTAGGGGGGAGTGATATGACATGAAGAAGAGACAGCAGAGGCAAAATCAGATGGGAATTACAAGACCGTAGCAAGGAGTTGGGATTTAATTTAGTGTGCAATTGGAAGAGTTTTAAGCAAGGGAGAGACGATCTAAGTTTGTAAATAATTCTCAGTCATGTGAAGAAGAGATGGAGGAAGCAAAAATGGGAGCAGAGAATGGTAAGGACAGAGAGATGGGGGGAAGTGATCAGATTCAAGAAATAATTAGGAGGGAGAATTGGCAGGACTTGGTGAGGACTGTTTTGGATCTGGGCAGTCAAGGAGAGGAGGTGTTGATGATGACACTGAGCTCTGGGCCAGATAGGAGACCGCCTTTCAAAAGTGGGAGGAGGGCTCGAGCTCAGGGAGGGGAATTTGGGAGACCTGGGTGGGGGCCCTGTCTGAGATCATCATAGTGTATCTAATGTCTGTAGTATAGGGCCAGCCTCATAGCAGGCACTCCACAACTAGTACCTGTGACATTGCCGCCATGTTACCTTAACTGGATTAGTTCCACCACCATCACCTCTTCCCCTCCACCTTGTTAGGGACCTGGATCAGTGGCCTTGAGGCTATGCACATCTGGCCCTCTCTTTTCATTGCTCCTCCCTGAGGCTTTGGTTAGGTGACCAGCCTCAGCTTTACCCTGTCCCGATTCGGTCCTGATACATATCGGACACTCAACCCACATGTGTTGAATGACTAAACTAGGTCTAAACCAGGTGATTGCAGTACTGTAGGTGAGGACTGACTGAGTCTTGAGCTGAGGAGATGACATTGGAGATGGAGAAAGGGAAACATATTTAAAATATATTTGGAAAGTAGAAGGACAGTAGTTGCTGATGAATGATATAATCTCGTATTACCATAGTGAGTACTTTATTTCATGTTAACTTTGTCAAAATGACCACCAGGGAGAGAAGCAAGTTGTTATTTTTTTGTGGACAGACACTATATATTTTTAATATTAGTGGAAATTGAAGGAACTTCAAAGAGTTCGTGTGATATCACATAAGTCAGTGATCAAACCACTAAGAGACATTAAGGGGTAAAAATTTGGAGAAGTCATTTAGTATGTAGATGGGTAGTGTTTTTACACAAAATCCAGCTACTGACTAGCTCATCCCCGCCAATCTCAAGTGTCTGGCACTTTCCAGACTCTCAGTTAATGCTTGTTGAGTGGATGGCTAAATGAATGAATCTGTCTAGGTTTGGCAAGTATTTCAGAGACTGAAATTGTATACTGAGCCAGATCAGATCAGACCAAAGAATGAGTGGGAAACGTAACACTGCTTAATTCCTAGTTGTTTTTTCTGGCACCAAAAGGCCTTGAATGCAGAAATTGTTACATTGGATAAGAATGAAAAGCAGTGTTCTTATCTGTTGAGAGTCTGTGAACTTCTAGGCACTTTATGTATATTATTTATAATTTTCACAACAACCCTCCCTATAGGGTAGATATACATAATCCACATTTTATGGAGGAGGAAATTCAAGCTCAGTGATTATAAATTAGTGGCACTGGAATTCAAAATCATGTTTGACTAACTTCACAGGCTCCCTGAAATGCATGTGTTAAGAGCATGTCTTGAAAACAAAGCCTGTAGGTGAGAGCATTTACAGTTAAAGAGGCCAGGTATTATGACGTGAAGTCGAATAAATCTGCTAGTTTGGTGTAGCTGACACATGTTACTACACTAAAACCTTTTATAGAGATAATACTGATAGACAAGCCACCATATCATTCATTTGATATTTATTGAGTGGTTCTCATGTGCAAGATAGCATTGAAATACACACATAAAAATATGTTAGACACCATCTCTGCCCCCATGAAGCTTACCATCTAGAAGTGAGGTTAAAGTCACACTACCTATCCTCACACACAGTGTAACCAAATGCATGATTTGAGGTATTTACAATAGAGGTTTGCTATATTTTAAAAAGTAGGCTTTATGCTAATATTTAAGTCCACAGATATCCCATTGAATCATCTTTCATCTGAAACTCTAAATTTGTAGGGTGCTCAAAAGTTGTTAAATTTTCCCATTTTTGGAAAGTGAAGTTAAAAGTGGGAACCTAACTATGCCATTCAAAACTATAAAAGAACATTTTGAACCATGTTTTTTATAAGTTGAATCTGTATTAACTTATATTTCACTGTTGTAATAAAACCTTTTCCCAAAGAATGAGTAAAATATCCAGTGCTTTCCTAAATAAATTTTTTTTAATCTTGGAATTTTTCATGGTTGATTTCAGTTATTTAATTTATGCATCTAAATTATATTTTCTAAAATGCAGATAAAAGTATGGCAAACTTCTTTGCATCAAAGACCGTCACTGCACTTTCAGATCTGCATCCAAATATGGCTAATCTGGTAGGTTTCAATGATATAGTGGTTTGGTTGTTCTGTAATGAAATTTTGTGTGGTTATATTACATTATGTCAACATTATTGATTTTTTTTGACACGTTTGTATAATTGACAAATATACAGGTACTTGTTGCATTAGTATAATTGCTGGATATTAAGTACCCCTGAACTTCTTTGTATTTATGCTGGCTAAATGAAAATTAGTCTCTCTTTTATTTTTAAATTTTTATTGAGGAACAGCTAGGCTCATTGGTTACACATTGCTTTCATGCTACAATGGCATTGTTGACTCTTTTAAGGAGGGCGCAGCTCACAGTGGCCCATGCAGGGATCAAACTGGCAACCTTGGTGCTATCAGCACCACACTCTAACCAACTGAGCTAACTGGTCACCCCTAGTCTCTTATTTGTCTATACAGTAGGAGATTGTAGGTATGACTAGCAATTGTTCAAAATGATCCAAAGTTTATTTGTATTATTTAAATTAAATATTTAATAACCACTCAAATTTAGCATTATAAAATTAAAACATTTTTGTTCAGCAGTTTTTATTCTCTAATCAAATTATCCAAGTTATAGACTTAAATACTTGCTGTTATTCTGCTTTTATGACATAAAGGTATACAACAGGTGTATTTCTGAAATTCATGTTTATGGGAGGAGCTATGGGGGAATTCAATAATTTCAAATATACTGAGACTGTTACTTATTTAAAAGAAATATAGGTGGAATCATCTAATAAGGTGAGGAACTTACTGTAAAGCAATTATACTCCCTTACCTTACCTGCTTCTGAGCAGTCTGAGTAGTTTGGCATTTGCAAGTCAGATTTTAAAAAATAGGATATATTTATGTGTAACATTAATAATTTGCAACTCTAAAAGTTTATTAATGTTTAAAATAATTATTGGTGTTATAGTTTATCTTGAAAGGTAAAGTATTTGCTAATTGCCTTTTCAGTTAGAAAGTTTTACAATATTTACATTAGTTGTGTTTTCCCAACAAAATTCAATGAGATCTGCATGCATATGGAATTTAAGAAATAATAGCAGTGTGTCTAAGTGTAATAAAACTAGCTATTAGCCCAGCTAGGATATGGCATGTTAAAAGCTTGAGTGTATTTTAAATGTAACAGATTATTACAAGGTTAAAATCAGTTGCTAGAATTAATATAAGTTTAGGTTTATTCTTTCAGAAAAAGGTGATTATTTTTATTTCTTAAAGCACTTTTTAAATATTTAATCTTTCTTTGGTAGTCACCAAAGAGAATATTAAAATTTTAAGGAGATGTTAATATCTTTAAGATTTAAGATCTAGGACTTGAGAGCTTAGATTTATTAGCAGCAATATACAAGTTTTGTTGCAATCTAATTTATATTACTGTCCAGCATGTTTGGATTAAGAAGCTAAGCAATTTTATGTGGATTGTTAGAAAATCTTATATAAAAGAAAGCTTTGAAGACCATGGCAAATTAAATTGCTTTATACATGTGCTTTGAATGAATTCAGTAAGGATTGATAGGATAGGGCAGTTACTGTGCTCCACCTAGTGATTGAAAATAAAGTAGAAACATACTAAGTATTAAATGATTATATTTGTAATAGCAGTTAACTGTCTTATTACTTTGTACTATTCCTTGTGGAATTGAACATTTATGAAGTTCTTTTAGATGTTTGTCTGGAATAAATACATTTAAATGGTTCCTCATCCAATATGTTTGTTAGAGCCAGTAAAATATAACAAGTCCATGAAATTAAATTTACCATCTACATCTGTGTTTAATATTCATCCTCTGTAACCTTTTTGTTTTTCAGAAAATAATCGGTATAGTTATTTGGAAAACAGATGTTAAAGGCTTTCCAGACAGAAAAAGCTGAGTTCTGTTTAACTCTTTGCTTCATTTTTCATCAATCGTAGCTTATTACTACAACAAAATATATTTAAGTGATTAAATTTCTCATGCCTGTTTAACTCCTTAAGAGCAATGGCCGTGTTCTTTATTGTATGGTAAAGTACTCAGTTTAAAGCTATATGTGTGAGGACATTAAAATCATTTTTTATGATTTTATTTGATGTTTCTCAAACATAATTTTAAAGACTTGTTATATAATGCCAAAATAGCTTGTTAAATTGGTCAACTCATTAATGTGTATCAATGTGTATTTATTGAGTACCTTTACTGTGTAAAGCATAAAGGTAACAGAGGGCAATTACAGTCTCCTGTCATTTTCAGATGTCATAGTGTCTGAGAGTATGGATTTGGAGCTAGATTAACTGAGGTCACTCAGTCACTGAGTGATCTCAAATCTGTCCCATGTACAGCTGTGAAATCAGGATAAGTAGAGTTGGTGTGAGAATTAAATGAGTTCATACCTGTAAGGGTGTGTAACCCATAGTAAGAACTCAATGTTAATTGTCACTTTCAGCCTAAGAGATACAGGTACACAAGTAAATCTCAAATAAGACTGAAAGTGATAAGGAGGAAAGTTTTCCAGCAGAGTTATGTCATGATAGAGTAGTGTGGAAGGAGAGAAATATGACAACAGTATCTACATATTTACTCAAGCAACCAGACAATTCAGTGAAAAAAAATTCATCTTTCATTTGTGGAAAATACAGTTTATTTTGGCTTTAGTCGTTCTTATTGAATTGGTTGAACTGTGCAAGAGTTTTAGGACTATGGAAACATAATCCAAGACTTAAGTTGGATTTTTAAAATCAACTCACCTTCAAACTTTTGTAGTTGGCATGCAAAGATACAATATAGAATGTGAAAAGTAGCAACTCACTACTATTAGCTTTTAAAATGTCAGTGGTGTTTATTAAAGCTTATAGTATAAGTGCTTATACTACTTGAGGGAATCAGAGCTCTACTCAGCCAACCAATAATTTTGGCAGAAGAAGACATTTTGTATGACTCACTTGAGTAATTGTGACTGTGTTATTTGTCTCAAGATATAGTGATAGGTATTTTAATTTTATTTCATATAATATTCTGTTATTATTTTTGAGGTAAATAGCAAAGACTTCATCTCCCACCCATACTCGTTTGTGTCTTCACTTTACTTCATCATAATTAATTGGAAGTACCATTTGAATGGTTTGAGAAAGTCTATATATCTGTTTTCTTTCTTCTTTTTTTAATTAAATTTTATTGGGGAAAAGTGTGTTTTCCAGGACCCATCAGCTCCAAGTCAAGTAGTTGTTTCAATCTAATTGTGGAGGGCGCAACTCAGTGGCCCATGTGGGGATCGAACCGGCAGCCTTGGTGTTATGAGCACCGCGCTCTAACCAACTGAGCTAACCAGAGGCCCCTATATGTCTGTTTTCTAAGCTCTAAAAGGAATAACTTAAAGTATATGAATTAGAAAAAAGTCATTCAAATATTTGCTAAAATGACAGCAATGAAATACATTTTCCACCTATTAGGCTGTGAGGGTAGGGGACCACATCTGTAGTGTTTGATGACTTTTTATGATTACATGTATTCCTTTTTTTGAGAAAGTATGCTTACTGACTTTAGAAAACATTATACAAATAATATATAAAATATAATTAATAATTTTTTATTAAAAATTCAAGCTGTACAGAAGGTCATAGAATTGAAAAGTAAAATTCCTCATTTAACCCCCAACTCTTCCCATCCCAGTCTCCACCCCAAAGGTAAACACTAATTACAGTTCAGTAGATATCTATAATTTGTATATATATGTTAGGTTGTATTACCTTTTTAATTAGCAAAAACAGTAGAAATTTTATTTTGGAAAAAAAATGTACTTGCTGACCCCTAGTGGTACCATTTAGTAGCACACATTTATTTGTTTTCAAATAATTTAGATCTGAATTAGACTTAGGTTAAAACAGTAAGAGAGAAATGGAGAACCTAAGCTAACATCTGGATGGTTCAAGCCTATGTGTCATTTCCCTTCAAATAACAGATAACTGGAGAAAGGGAACAGAGGGGTCAATAGTGAGGTGACTATCTACTCTGGCAGCACTGAAATTCATAAAAGCATAACATTACAGAATTTATATCAAATAATATTTTAAGTATGTGTTTGAGAATTTTTATTACCATAATAATATTTGTTCAAAGCTATAATTAGACATTTCAATTGAAAAATAAAAGTATTGTTTTTCCCTTAGATATTGGGTCAGAAAGGTACACTTTCAGTTTTACCATTCGCGATTCACCCTCCCATTTTGTAAATGCAACATCCTGGGGCAACGGAGATTACATCAGGTCACTTTCCAGCAGCTTTAGGGTTGGTGATTGTGGTAAGTTGGCACTGATTCTTAGACCATTTCTATTATAGTATTATTCCTGTGATATGTATGTGGTAACTAAACTGAGGGTGTCAAAGCGAAATGCAGTAGTTCCCTTATCCGCAGGGGATAAGTCCCAACACCTGAGTGGATGGATGCATGAAACTACAGATAGCACCAAACCATATCTATATCTATATCTATATCTATATCTATATCTATATCTATATCTATCTCTATCTCTATCTCTATCTCTATCTATCTATCTATATCTATCTATATCTATATCTATCTATCCATCCATGTTTTTCCCTATACACACATGCCTATGATAAAGTTTAATTTATAAATTAGATACAATAAGATTAACAACAGTAACTAATAATAAAATAGAACAATTATAACAATATACTATAATAAAAATTGTGTGAATGTGGTCTCTCTCTGTCTTTCAAAATATCTGATAACTGATCCGGTAATAGAGACAGCCACTAGGTGACTAATAGGTGGGTAGCATGTACATCCTGGATATGCTGGATGAAGGAATGATTGACATCCCAGGAGGGAGGGAGTGGATGGCTCAAGATTTCATCATGCTACGCAGAAGCAGCAAACAATTTAAAACTTATTGTTTACTTCTGGGATTTTTCACTTTACTATTTTTAGACTTTGGGTGACTGCTGGCAAGCAAAACCATGGATAAGGGGAGACGACTATAAGACACAATTCATAATTCTCAAGAAACTTATCAGAAAAAAGTCAAGTGTTAAAAACATAATAGAAGACATTCCGCATTATTACTTGCAACATACAAACACGATAGTCACATATTTTTACTGGGTAGCTTTATGGTCTTTGGTTTATTTCATATTTCAGTTTACATCAAATCAATCCCTATTGTTGCTATAATCATTTAACATAATAGGGCTGTTAAATAGATTTTGATAAAAGATGATATTTGAATTTTTAATGGTTTTAAGAAACTTTACTTTTAGTTTAAAATACCAAATATTTTGCATCTTTCCCCACCCCAATATCCCTCTGACAGTGTAGTATAGCAAAAAGAACAAGGACTTTGAAAACAGATCCTAGCTCCAACATTTGTTCACTATGTGGCTTTGAGAAAATTTCTTAATTTTGTTGGGCCTTAACTACAAATTGATACCCTGTAGGTTCTTGTGAATGTTAAACAAGATAGTGTACCTAGTATATAGAACTTAGTCACTCAATAGATGACGGCTCTAGCCTCATACAAGCAACAGGAAAGCACGTATACCAGAGATTTCATGGTAGAAAAAAAAAGGGAAAGAGTAAAGCAGATAATTCAACTACTCCTCTCCAATACTGCAGCATCAAGCAGCCTACTACCCATACCAGTTATTTAGTACCTAATCATATATTGCCTTGTATTATTAACTTTCAGGATTATATGTAGTATTTCTCTAATTAAATAATAAGGTAATTGAACATATAGACTTGAAGGCAGAAAACTTTGCAGACTTCACAGGGCCTGGTACAGTTAGAAACATTCCTTGGATAAATGCCAGGACATTAGTTATATAGTTATATAGAGCTAAAGATAGATTTTGGTATTAAATATATGTTGATGGTTGTTGTGAGGATGAATGAGATAAGGGATTTTCAAAAGCATAAGATTGACGGTTATAAATCTAAACAAGGCTTTAGTGTGGTAGAGTGAAAAGATTACAAATTTTTGAATCAGAACAATTCTAATTCCAGCTCTAGTACTTTCTAGATATAAAATCTCCAGAAAGTTATTTAACCTCTGTGAGCTTCAATCTCTTCATTTGTAGAAAGGAAATAGTTGTGTGAGTAGTTAGCAAAATACAGCGTAAAAAGGTCTAACATAGACCAAGGAGATAGAAACCCTAAAGTGTAAGTCATGGCTTATTAAGTTGTGGAGCTCAAATCAGGACCCAACTGTGAATTGGGTGTTTGTTTTATAGAAGGGCATGTTGTAATCAAATCAAATGTTAAGTGTAACTAATCAATAAAGTAATATTAATGTTGGTCATATATTGGGATTTGAAAACAAAGCATAAGAAATGTCATCTGGGATCAAACTGATGGTTATCCCCCAAGATTCCATTTCTCACAGTGACACAAGAAAATGATTGGTAAGGGTATATAACACCAACTCAGAAATCAGAAATAACATTGTAATGCTTATTATGTACACTTGCTTTTTATTTATCCTGTTACTTTTTTTGTAATAGCATCATACTTTTCCCTCTGTTTTAGTGATAATTGAAAATCCCCTGATTCAAAGAAAGGAATTTGAAAGAGAAGAAAAATTCAGCCCTGCAACTCCTAGGTAAATATCTAGCACAGAGATCAACAAGCTTTGTGTTAGAATGATCATTACTAATGAGTTTTTATGCGTCAGATTAGCAGAGAGCTAACTAAAGGTATATACATACTTCAGTTTAAAATTAGAACTTTAATTCTTCCTCACAATATTTATTTCTGATTATGAAATAATTTACTTTGATATAAGATCACATGAAAAAATGGCTTTGTTTTTAGTACTTTGATTCTCAGTCTTAGATTTACAAAAATTTGACTCTCCTCACACTAAAGCTGAACAATGAGAAGAAAAGATAAACCTTGAAAGTTACACATATATATATTTTCATGTCAAGGTATAGCTCTATTCACATACCTTACTAAGTTTAGGTTCCCTGGAAGCAGAGCCTGGAGGAGGATTTTTGTGTGAATGATTTATTGAAGGCGAGCTCTCAAGAGCAGCCTGTAAAATAGGGTGGGGGTTGGGGGAAAGCTGAGCAAAGAGGCAGGTTCAGCTGAACAGTCTCAGCCTGACTCAGGAGGGAGCTCTGAGGCATGAGTGGCACCTCAGGGAGGGACCCACTTAAAGAAGGGGGCTGGGATTTTGTACACTGTATTCACAAGTCATTGGCTGCAGTCTGTAAGTTCTATAACTTAATTTGTGTTTGGAGAGTAGTAACCAGTTGGCTACTCCTGGGTGGTGAGGGAATAGGGTTATTCCCCTTCAAAGGCATTTCTGGCTGAGAGCAAATCTGGAGAGAAGAGTGAAGCTGGTGAAGACTCTGAGTAGGGCACAATGGGCTCTACTACACCCCCCCCCCACACGCCCATCTTGACCCCTTCCCACTGTTTTTCTGACCTCATCTTATACCAGACTCAAGTCTCGTTTCTTCGCAGCCACACTGAACTCCTTTTCACTTGGTGAGCACCCTGGGCTCATTCTGCACTAACAGCTTCTGCACATGCACTTCCCTCTTTTCCCATCTGCTTTGAATATATATATATATA